GTGTATTTAAGCCCCTTCTGTTCTGTGTCTTGTGTCGGTCCATTGTTTCATTGTCCAGCGTGTGTTGAATAAATTAATGTTAGAAGTTCTCACCTGTCTGCGTGTATTTCTCCCGCATTTGGATCCTTGCCTCACCTCCGCTCACCTCGCCCACATGCCGTGACACATTTATTTTTACAGGCATTATTTAGAATGTTAGTCTGGTATGTTTGGAAGCAGGTATTTCCAATGGAGAACTTATGTTTAAAAAGTAAAATGTAATTGTACATGTTGGTGCACACTGGTGTATTCAGTGTAAAAAAGTACCCAGTCGTACTTTTAGGTCAAGGGTGTGTGACATTAGAGGACAATGGCCAAACTATTCAACTTTAAAGTCCCTGTGAGCCACAAAAGATTCATTATTTTATATTTAAAAAGGTACAAAATCTGTTATAATGAAATTTTGGGCATTTTAGTAACATTTGATCATAAAAAGAATCAATCTACTTTCACAGCCTGATTCTCTCGAAGTGTTATCAGTGCCCACAAAGAGGTAGATATAGCAGAACTTAGATATAGCAGAACTTATTTGATGCTTTCACACTCTGAAGCCACAAATATTAATGCTTGTTTGGCTGTTATGCCCAGCACGTGAGTGCACAATCGGTTACAGTTTAGCACCTGAGCTGCAGCGCTGCACACACTCCCTAGGGCACTGATGGGATTCAGAAGGGGTTGTAATGACAGATCTAGAGGGGTTGGGGGTTTATTTGTGGATATCTATTGCCTTGCATCTCTTATAAATACTGCAGCAAAGGCTTAATTGATTCTGAGCATTAGCATGAGTAATAATTACCAAAGTGAGAGAGGACACATGTTTTCCAACTCTGAGCTGAGATGAAACCATGTCAGCCTCATGTCTTCATGAGGTTCTGCTCAATATCGCAAGTTTCATTCAAGCCAACCCCCCCCCCCCCCCCCAAAAAAAAAACATGGTGGGGGGAGTCTTAATTAATACTCACAAGGCTGCAGAAGATAATTTATATAGTCACATGTTTAACCAATTACTCAGAGTGTAATGAAGTGGAACATGGCTCACCGAGTTCCCAGGACACCCTACATTCCCTCCTTTTATTTCCATCAGCCTAATTTAGCTGCCCCAGGCTGGCGAGCTAATCTCCTCTAAATGTTGCAGTGGGCAACACTTCAATTTGGGTACTTAAAATTACCAGGGGTCCGTATCCACCCCTCGCTTAAGTTCTCTGCTGTTATCTCAGCATCATGAAAAGGCAGAGAGGACGAGGGACGTCTGATGTCCACACCCTGGTTTAATCCCTGACTGACTGTGTCCTTTTCAGGGACCATTAGCCAAGCCCTCATCCAACTTGATATTTCAAACACCTGCGACCAAGCATCTGCCGAGCATAAGAATTATTAGCGTTGCATCTTTTTGAGGGTATATAAATTGACCATGAAAGTGATCATGAACAGTTATTCAGACTTCTTAAAAGTTCCTTAAAATCTTTTCCAAAGGTTGCAGAGGACCTAAACATCCTTTGAGAGTAGCATGAAGTCTGACAGGTGACCTGAAACTGCTCACGTGGATGTTCACACGTTGCATAAACAGCTGCTGTGTGTGGATAAATGCAATTAGGATCCCCGAGTGTGACTGTGAATGCTAAGCAAACTAGAGCCATGCTTGCGTGGAAGTGGGCAAAATAAAGTTGATCAGCCTGACGGTGAAAGTGGGCAGCTGACTACGGTGAACACAAATGAGCATCGATCACAAAGCAGAGCGGGGCTGCTAATGACCTAAAGCTGCAGGGGCTCGTTACCTCTGCACTGGCCTGAATGGTTCCCACATCCTCACAATCCACTAAATACTAATGATGTTCTCATTCCTAATCCAGCATTCTCATATTGGCATTTAATAAACCTTCAGCTCACATCACTGAATAAAGTAAGGGAGCACCATTTGGACGATGCAGTGCTGCATCAAAGTTATGGGTGAATAAGGCTATTAGAGCCACTGATGGTGCTGTTTAGGGGTCTGGGTTCCTTGTTGATGAGGGGTGGATGAACAAGAGATGGACCAAAGGATCAGGGCTTTGAATAGGGATTTAAATTGCCATAAGCCTTCCTAGTTCAGTCTCAAGAATCAGATCTGAGTCCGGTGAAGAAATGTTGTTTATGTTTTCACAACAACCACACCTACTGCAGCACGTACTCTACACTGGGATGGAGGGAAGTGCTGCTTTAATCCAAGACAACCTCAAAGAAACCAACCACCAATCAAAATGTTGTTAGGACCATGTTTACAATCTCACAGTTAGCTTGTTTTCTGCATAATTTCTAACAAAATGTTCTGCTTAGTCAAAATGACAGAAATACCACAAGCTTATCGTCTCTCGTCTTCCAGCAGACCTGCCTTTACGGTCGCTGTTTTAACTGAATAATCCCAGTGATGTGTGTAAGTAAACACCGGACCCTCCCTAGTTTGAAGTTAGCAACTCTGTGCTGTTAAGGAAGTGCAATTTCAGACTGAGACTCTACTTTCAATTTTTAAATCTTCAGTCACTCCAATCACTGTCAGAGGGAATGTAGTCTTGATCAGGACATGGCTGGTCCACAGATTAACTGGTCCATCTTCTGATGCTGCTTCTTCTCATCAGAAAGAGTCTGTTAAAGCCTGGTTCACACCGCACGGCAGGATAATCATGATGGCTCTAAAATGAATCTTTTCAGATTATCTTACTCTTCGTCTCTTTGTGGTGTGCTAAGAGTGCTCTGGGTTACTTGGAAGGACATCAGGACCACACCGACTATAAACATGTTAGATTATCCTGGTCTGACGTCTGGGGACAAACGAATGTGCTGCCTGCTCAATGTGCCGTGGAGCCAATTAGAAAGAGAGCTGATGGCTGAAGCTCCTCCTCCGCCAAGTTTGTTTACTAAGTCTTAAGTCATATTCTGGGAAGTTTCTCGTCTGAGCTGGGAGTGTATGTGAGTGGAAGCTGTTCACTTGTTGAGTTGCTGCACACCACCCACTGTGAGTGGGTGCATTTCTGTAAGAAAACAAACAAAAAAAAATCAGATCTTACAGGGATTTCATTGGGATTGACTTTTGTTCTCACTTAGATCGTCACGAGTGAGAGAATCCACATCTTACAGCCTACTGATTAAAGTTCAGATGGTGGTCCATAACCTTATTGATTACCAGCTGGTAGTTTGACACGATGTCTGGACAATGTGTGATTTATAATATTGTGTGACCCAGAATCAAAGCCTTTTCACCCTGATGTGATTAAAAATTCAATGTAATCCATTTAGAATGACATCTCCAGGACATTAATCAACATGTAATGACTCTAAGGTGGGCTGAGGCAACAGCTCAGATTCCCAACTAAGTGGAAAGAATAAACCTTCTGTTGTCAGCTGGATGAAGTTTCAGGATAAATAAAATATCTGAACTCAGTTGATCTCATAAGAAAAGGCATCAGCGAAATCAGCCATTATCGACCGGGCGTCCTATGTTTGATTGAGACTCGTGACAAGTTTGTGGGCAGGATGACAAACAAAAAGTCAGAAGGTTAAAAAAGTGGAAACCAAATCAATAATGATGGCTGACAACATGAAGCTTAGATGATCAGTACTGAGCTCTCTTAGAATAAATAATGCAGCGCAGAGGAAATCAACTTCTCTTTGTCTGGAAAATACTTTTGGCTTCTCTTTCCGCCGTGATTGTGGATTCTTTGTTACCTTTTTCCCGTCTGCGTCCATTCATGAAGACTAATAAAGTTCAAAATAACAAACTTGTGCAACAGATGCAAAAATGTAACATCTGCATAAATACCTGCCGTACCAGTTGCTTAATATTCTTATGAAATCAAATTAATTTGATGTAATTATTACCAGATAAATATTTGTGCAGAGTGATCCATATGTCGATTTTCTTTTCCCAGCAAAATGTTTAACGAGGCATTTGTGTGCAAATATGTGCTGTTCAAACAGCAAAGAGCTGAAAGGACAGATGCGTTCCAGCGTTGGATAAACAACTTGTTTGTTCATGTAGTCTGACTGATTTGGCTTCTTTTCAACAGCCAGCAGTCACAGCTGCATCAGCAGCCCTGACAGAAAGCTCACGGCAGCAGAGAAACTGCTGTCAACCCCCAGCAGACTGCTGCGGTATGCATGAATGAGCTCTCTTTATATCAGACATCAACAACTTTCTAATATCAATACAGATTTCACCATTAAGTCATCACAAATTAAAGTTTTAATAGAACCTTTTTTGAGTTTTTCACGCTTTCCTCTTTTTCTCAGTTTATGTTGGTTATTGGGTAAAAAGAGTTTTCTGTAAAATAAAAGATGGAGTTTGGTTATTAGGGCATTTGCTCCGTAAATTTTAGATTTTACTTGAAAATAAATTCTATGTCCACTTTTTATTGATGTAAAAATTCTGCCATGTGAATTCATGGATTTTTTTTTTCACATTCTGTCTCTCTCAGTTGAAGTGTACCTATGTTGTAAATTACTGACCTCTGTCATCATTTTAAGTGGGAGAACTTGCACAATCGGTGGCTGACTAAATACTTTTTTGCCCCACTGTAAGTAAGTCCAGCCAACAGTTTAAGAGAGATGTTCACCCTGAGGCTGATTGCACCGCTAATCTGTGTCCACCTCTGCTTTTTCCATGACTTGCTTTTTAGAGATGCAACTGCAGTACAAACCCACTAAATATCAGCTCCCCAGTATCAGCTACTCGCTCACCCCCCAGCATGGGATTCAGGCTCTGCTTATTTGGTCGGATGAATTATTAATAAGATTTTTCACCAGCAACATTTTACTCATAGACGTGTGTGTGTGTGTGTGTGTGTGTGTGTGTGTGCGTGCGTGCGTGCGTGCGTGCGTGCGTGCGTGCGTGTGTGTGTGTGTGTGTGTGTGTGTGTAATACAGACGTGATCTAGACCGACTCTCGTCGTCTTCACAGAGCTCATGTGCCTTGTCTTTTTTTTTTCCAGAACTGAACAAAGAAGAGTTTTCCTGGGAAGTGTTCTCCACACTCTGTAAACTGAATGGGAATACGGGGAATTTATGACCTTGGAAAATGAAGATGTTGTTGCCATGGGAACTGTTAATCCTTCTGTCACTCAAAGAGTGCCTTGCTGGTGAGATGCCAAGACAAGCCTCCTTTCATGACACACCTGAAATGCATACTTCTTTCACAGGGTGGAGTGTGTGTGTGTGTGTGTGTGTGTGTGTGTGTGTGTGTGTGTGTGTGTGTGTGTGTGTGTGTGTGTGTGTGTGTGTGTGTGTGTGTGTGTGTGTGTGTGTGTGTGTGTGTGTGTGTTGGGGGTGGTTGCTAAGCTTATAGTTTCATTACAAAGGGACTGGCAGCCTGAAAAGGATCATCATTCTAATAGCTTTGGGATTTCTGCGGGATCTACACACAAGTTTGACTGGAAAACATCCTAAAATCTGATTGGGGTTCAGCTTTAGTTTAATATTAAATGGTAAATGGCCTGTATTTGATACAGTCAGGTCCATAAACGTTGGGACATCGGCACAATGCTAAAATTTTTGGCTCTATACACCACCACAATGGATATCAAATTAAATGAACAAGATGTGCTTTAACTGCAGACTGCAGACTTTATGCAGGCTGCATAAAAGTAAACGATCAAGGATGAACAAGAGTCTGCTTCTAGACCTGCAGAAAGAGAAAAACAAACAAAAAAATGGGACACACAACAATACAACAAGAGCAAGCTATCACTGCGTTAACCTGATGAGGAAATATAAAATCAACATTGTTTTACTGAACAATCACTCGATAATAAATCACAGTGCATTTAGTGCCAACCACAGCCTTAAGACATGTGTTGAACGTGCCCAAGTCCATACTTATGAGAGCACCATGTGAGCACCTGTGTGTGTACACGTGCTTGTTTATGTAAGGTTTCTCTATAGGAGCATCCAATAGAGAGTGTGAGGGGCCACAGATCTGCCCCCAAATATGTGTAGGAGATGGAGGGAGCTCCAAGTCCCAGAGATCCAGGAGCTGTCCCAGAGTCCAGGGACCCCCAGTGAAACTGTAACCAGAAAAGCCCCAGCCTCCTCTCGAGAGGCGCAGAGGATCGCCCCAGGCAGTCACAACCAGCAGCCGGCAGAGTCCCGGGAGATACCAACGGAAAGCCCACAGGCCCGCCCGCAGCCCTCCAGAGCTCAAACCTGCATTACCACATAAAGGTGGACCAATATTTCTTACCCAGTAAATGTGGACAACACCCAGACTGACAGATTTGGATGCTACGCCGGTGTAGCCGTTAAAATAACAAAACTACATTCCACTATAATTTATTATGGTGTACTCTTCTACGATGCAGAGTCGTTTATGCCCGCATCTCGATGCATTGATTATTTAATTATTTTCCTCAGCTCTATCCTACATCTCCCATCAAAGGAGGGGGCTCGCGGGCCCACAGGCCGCCATTGGAGTACCGCTGCTTTAGGCTATAGACAGAGCGTCATTAATAAGAACTTGTTTACTAATCTCTCGCCCTCCCATCACTAAACCTGTAAGTATAACCAGATGTCATAAACCTGGTGTTTCCAAGGATAATGAAATGTAAAGTCGAGATGGAATGGTTTATGTAGCTGTTTCAGCTACACCGGGGCACACACACGCACAAAGCAAAAACGTTTGCTCACACGCTTTGTTAACCCATTCAGGGTACCGGGTTGTGGTACCGTTCCTCAGCAGACTCTGGGCCACACCAGCTCCTCACGTCTGCTCCTTCTCTTCCCCTCCTTCTGTGGCGCCGGTCCTCATAATAATCCTCCAGCTGATTATCAGTTGGCACCTGGTGCACCTCATTGGACAGCCAGCAGCGCCTCCCATCTGGTGCTCTGCTACACTCATCCACCACTTGCTCGAGGCCGGGGACATCCGCAGTCTGGCAGACTCCCCCGGAACCTGTGAAGTATTCACTGCTAACCAGCTGGGCCCGTAGCGCCAGTCGGGTCCAGATCGCCGCTCTCCTGGTTATGCTGCGCTTCTTGCCTTCTAAACCAGTGGTCTGCCAGCCTGAGCTGGTCGGTCCACTCACTCAGGTCCCACAGTATATCTCCATTACAGGGTAATATTGCCGTCCATGCCCCACCGCACCGCACTTCCAGAATCTGGGGGTTGGAGGTTCCAAGCTAGGAGCCGTCACTCACTGGCTGTCGTCCTGTTGCGCCATCGGCCGTCCAGGCTCCTCTCCAGCGCAGGGAGGTGGAAGGTGTCGTTGTGCTGGGGTCGGTCGTTCTGGTTTTTTTACCCATCCTTGGGCTGCCAGGTGGTCCTCAGCCAGGGTCACAGAGACCTGCAGATCTGTTGGTCGATGACATTGGATTCACTCCCTGGTCCCGCTTGGCATTGCCTCTACAAACTGCTCCAGGACCAGTGTGTCAAGTAGGTCCTGCTCCCCGTCCGACTGCTCGGGGCGGAGCCATCGGCAGGCTGCATCTTGGAGGTGCTGCACAAAGGCGAATGGTCAGTCTCCCATTCCCAGCCTGGCCTCTCTGAATGTGCAGAGGTAATCTTCTGCTGTGCATCCAGTCCGATCCAGTATAGCTCGCTTTATGTCCCTGTAGCCACAGAACGTACTGTAGCAGCCAGGCTTGCCGCCGCAGCCTGCACTTCTCCTATAAGCAGGAGACGTAGGCAAACTCCTCTGCCAGCCACCTGTATGCATCTGCAACAGCCTCAAAATTCTCCAGAAATGCTTCCGGGTCTCCCTCTGGCATCATTCTGTACTGGATAGCGAGTGGGCCTCCTGCTGAGGCGGTCGCGACGTCTGCACCGATCAGGTCCGTCAACAGCCGCAGGATTGCTGTCTGATGCTCTGCCTGCCGGTGCAGGCCCTCCATCTGTTGGTTACAGCACTCTGCTGACTCCCGGTTGAGACGCGTCACCTCCGCCAACATCTGGCCCAGCACTGCGACCAGCAGGAGTGCCGTGTTAGGTCCCGTCTGCTGCATGGTCAGTTGCCACCGACTACCTTGGTTGTGGGCGTGGCCCCATGTTGGGCAACAAATGTAGCAGTCTCAGCTACACCAGGGCACACACACACACTACACAACAACATTCTGTTTGCTCACACCTTCATTTACCCATTCAGGGTACCAGGTTGTGGTCCCATTCCTCAGCAGACTTTGACCCAAACGGGCTCCTCATGTCTGCTCCTTTTCTGCCCCTCCTTCTGCGGCGCTGGCCCTCTGGCTGATTATCAATCGGCACCTGGTGCGCCTCGTCAGACAGCCAGCAGCACCTCCCATCTGGCACTCTGCCACAGTTTATGATATAGCATTTAACTTTCAGTTGAAATTTTAGCATTTTAACTCATTCACTGCCAGCCATTTCCTGATCGCTAACGGCCTTCGCTGCCAGCGTTTCTCACCGTTTTTACTGTTTTTTAAGAGTCACAGAACGTTGCGCGCTAGCATGATGTTGACGCCAAAACAACCAAAACAAAGCGGAGATTCACCTCTTACATCAGGAAGAATCCGTGTGTTACGAGCGTTATCCGTTCTTTCATAATCCGTTGTTGAATTGTGATTGGCAGACCCTTTTCCGGTTCGCGCCTCACTTTTTTTACAGGAACGGCCCAAAACGATCTCCTAACACAGACCTGGGCATTTTACGGCCCGCGGGCCACATACGGCCCTTTGGCTGACTTTGACTGGCCTGCGTAAGGTTAATTGGAAATTACAAAATAAATGTATTTTCTCATTTTACCTCATGCATGGGCTAACCCCCAAATTCCACTACCTCCGCTCCGCTCCGACACGAAAGCCGGAGCAAAATCGGTCCCGTTGTAGTCAATCAGAGCAATTCCACTACTGCGGCCGTGCTCCGGCAGTGTGGCGCCGTGCGCCGCCCTCTGTTCCGGCGTCCGGCAAAAATAGAATTGATCCTATTTTCGCCGGACGCCGGAGCACCTCTGCAGTCAATGGACAGAAATCACAACGGCCCAACAGGAAAAGGAGCAAGCACAATTTCCGTTTTTCACAATAAATCGATAAACAAAAGGCGTTTTTTGTTTCATATGCACAGGTTTAACAACTTTTAACAACTATCAGTGGCGGCTGAAGTTTAAATGCACAAAAGTAAGCCATAAATACAGTTTCCACTATCAAAGTAGTCACACTTTGTGGATCCAAACACTGCTGATCTCTCAACACAAATGATGGGCAGATTAAACAGTTCATGCCGATGCTTCTCCCACACAACGGGTGTTTGGATCTAACTTCCGCGTTTATTGCTCGGACTGTATCGCAAGATCTCGAAAATCCCGCGCATGCTTGTTTGCCCCCCTCAGGTCTCCGCACCGGAGCGGAGCCGTTGTAGAGCGGGTACCAGTAAAAATTGAGTTCGGAAGCGAGCGGCTGCGGTAGGCGGGGGCGGAGCGGAGCGGAGGTAGTGGAATTTGGGGGTAAGGCTGCATTGCTTTTATTTTGAAGTTGTTTTTTACGTGCACAATGACGCAATACGTTTAGCAACAAGTGCCCGCGGTTGACATGGTGATTGTAGCCCCAGAAATGTCCGCTCATGCAAAAAAAAAAAAAAAAAAAAAAAAAAAAGATGCCAAATACAGGATTTTCAACAAAAATTGGACTGCTAAGTATTTTTTTTTTTACTGAAGTCGGAGGCAAAGCCGTGTGTTTGGTTTGCGGGGAGGAGATTGCCGTGTTTAAGGACTACAATTTGAGTCGGCATTACGACAAGAAACACTCGGAAAAATACAAGAACTCATCTGATGCTGAGAGGGCACGGACATCCGAAGCTTTGCTAGCAAAGTTGCAAAAGCAGCAAGGCTGTTTTACTAAGCTTCACACATCCAGGGATGCAGCAGCCAGGACCAGCTTTGTGATATCCCACAAAATAGCTAAAAACAGCAAGCCGTTTTCGGAGGGAGAGTTTGTCAAAGAGTGCATGGTGGACTCCGCAGCACTAATATGCCCTGAAAAAAAAGGCGCATTTGAGCAAATCCCGCTGTCCAGGTGAACCGTGGGGAACCTGGAGCTTCAGCTGCAACGTGAAGTGGCAAGTTTTGACTTTTTCTCATTGGCCTCAGACGAGAGCCGTGATGTCCGGGGGATAACGGAGCTCACAGAGGAGCTG